GCAAATCGCCATTTTACTTACCTTCTACAATGGGGGAATGCTTACCTGGTCCTTCCCCCCCCGCCCCAAAACAAGGACAGAAGGTGCCTGTAGCAAGTGTGTTAAAAAATGATAAGCTTAGAGTCATGACTACAAATGCTCGCAGTTTAGGGAATAAGATCCATGAACTTGTGGCAATAATGGCAACTGATAGTGTAGATTTAGCCGCTGTTACTGAGACATGGTACAATTAGAAAAATGACTGGGACATAGCAATACCAGGGTACTCTTTATATAGAAAAGATAGGGAAGGCAAGAAAGGGGGAGGGGCGGCCCTGTATGTGAAGGATAGCATAAAATCTAGCATAATAAAAGTTAGTGAGGCGAACATAGAGTCCATTTGGGTTATGTTAGAATTTGGTAATCACACAGTAACTCGTGTAGGTGTGATTTATAGGCCCCCAGGACAAATTGAAGAGTTAGATAATCTACTAGTTGAGGAAATAGCTAAAATGACAATGAAGGGGGAAGTTATCATCATAGGGTGACTTTAATCTTCCTGATGTAAATTGGAAAACAAAATTAGCTACTTGTGCCAGGAGCACACATATTCTAAACTCCCTACTGGGATTATCTCTAAAACAAGTTGTTGAGGAGCCAACTCGTAAAGAGGCCATACTAGATTTAGTGTTAACAAATGGAGATTCGGTGTCAGATATTACTATAGGTGAAAGTTTAGGATCCAGTGATCATCAGTCAGTGTGGTTTAATATAAGAACAGTGACTGAGTCACACCACACAAAAACCAAAGTTTTAGACTTTAGAAAAACAGACTTCTCTAAAATTAGAATATGTGTAGAGGAGTCATTATCAGACTGGAGCAATTTAAATGGAGTCCAAGAGAAATGGGATTATTTAAAAGTTGCACTATTGAAGGCAATAGAAAATTGCATTAGGCTTGTCAGTAAAAGCAAAAAATTCAAGAAACCACTGTGGTACTCCACAGATGTGGCCAAAATAGTTAAAAACAAAAAGTTAGCATTTAGTAATTATAAAAAAAAACAGAGTGAGGAAGACAGAATGATCTATAAGATTAGGCAGAAAGAGGCTAAGCAAGTTATAAGAGCTTCCAAATTACACACAGAAGAGAAAATAGCAGTCAGTAAAAAAGGGGGATAAAACATTTTTTAGATACATAAATGAGAAAAGAAAAGTAAAACAAGGATTAGTTAGATTAAAAACAAAAGAAGGAAGGTATGTAGAAGAGGATAAAGGTCTAGCTAACTACCTCAATGAATATTTTTGTTCTGTATTTACATATGAAAATGAAGGAAAGGGACCTCAGTTAAGAAAAAGGATAAATTAGTAATTTATTACACGTGAGTTTACAGAGGAAGAGGTTCGATTTCAACTGTCAAAAGTAAAGACAAATAAGTCAATGGGACCTGATGGAATACACCCAAAGCTATTAAAAGAGCTTAGTGGTGTACTAGCAAAACCATTAACAGATTTATTTAACCAATCATTGTTAACAGGAGTAGTCCCAGAAGATTGGAAGTTAGCGAATGTTGTGCCCATTTACAAGAAAGGTAATAGGGAGGAGTCGGGCAACTATAGGCCAGTAAGCCTTACTTCAGTAGTGGGGAAAGTGATGGAAACCATGTTAAAGGATAGGATTGATGAACATCTAAAAACACATGGATTTCAAGATCAGAGACAACATGGGTTTACTTCAGGGAGATCATGCCAAACTAATCTTATTGATTTTTTTGATTGGGTAACTAAAATTATAGATCAGGGTGCTTACCTAGATTTCAGTAAGGCTTTTGACACTGTTGCACATAGAAGGCTTATCAATAAACTGCAATCTTTAAGTTTCGATTCCAATATTGTTGAAAGGCAGTGGCTGAGTGACAGGCAACAGAGGGTTGTAGTTAATGGAATATATTCGAAGCTTGGACTTGTCACCAGTGGGGTACCTCAGGGATCTGTACTTGGACCCATTCTTTTTAATATTTTTATTAGTGATATTGCAGAAGGTCTTGATGGTAAGGTATGTCTTTTTGCTGATGATACTAAAATATGTAACAGGGTTGATGTTCCAGGAGGGATAAGCCAAATGGCAAATGATTTAGGTAAACTAGAAAAATGGTCAGAATTGTGGCAACTGACATTTAATGTGGATAAGTGCAAGATAATGCATCTTGGACGTAAAAACCCAAGGGCAGAGTACAGAATATTTGATAGAGTCTAACCTCAACATATGAGGAAAGGGATTTAGGGGTGATTATTTCTGATGACTTAAAGGTAGGCAGACAATGTAATAGAGCAGCAGGAAATGCTAGCAGAATGCTTGGTTGTATAGGGAGAGGCATTAGCAGTAGAAAGAGGGAAGTGCTCATGCCATTGTACAGAACACTGGTGAGACCTCACTGGGAGTATTGTACACAGTACTGGAGACCGTATCTTCAGAAGGATATTGATACCTTAGAGAGGGTTCAGAGAAGGGCTACTAAACTGGTTCATGGATTGGATTGCGGGATAAAGGATCTTAACATGTATAGCTTGGAGGAAAGACGAGACAGGGGGGATATGATAGAAACATTAAAATCCATAAAGGGAATCAACCCAGTAAAGGAGGAGACTATATTTAAAAGAAGAAAAACTGCCACAATAAGAGGACATAGTCTTAAATTAGAGGGACAAAGGTTTAAAATTAATATCAGGAAGTATTACTTTACTGAGAGGGTAGTGGATGCATGGAATAGCCTTCCAGCTGAAGTGGTAGAGGTTAACACAGTAAAGGAGTTTAAGCATGCGTGGGATAGGCATAAGGCTATCCTAACTATAAGATAAGGCTAGGGACAAATTAAAGTATTTAGAAAATTGGGCAGACTAGATGGGCCGAATGGTTCTTATCTGCCGTCACATTCTATGTTTCTATGTTTCCCTACCTGAAGCCGTATTTTCGAAGGGAGCCGTAGTCTCGGTGGTCCACTTCCGGGTCAAGGCGGTAAGGAAGCCAATCTCGGGAGAAGTTCCCGCGGTTTTCTCGAACGGGTCAACTTTTAATTTTTATATCCCTCATGGGTTAATTTTATTTTATTAATTAATTTAAATATGTTAAAATTATATATTTAGCTAGCTGGGGTGGGTGTAAGTTAGTAGGGAATTGCTGAATTTGGTGTTAGGCTAACTAGGGGTTAACATAAAAAAAAAAAAAAGGTTTTAATACCGTATAAAAAAAAAGTAAAAAAAAACCACTACACCTGGAACAAGCTAGCAGAAAAATGATCCAACGTTAAAGTTCAAAATATGCCTTTTGAATTACCCAAGGGTGTATTCCTTAATAAATAGTATGTGTATTGTGGAGAAGTTTGACTAACCAACCAGCTAAACTACTCAAAAATGGAACATGGACACAGCGTAAAACTTCAAAGTTAGAAAAAAACTGGAATGGCTGTGTCTCAAATGTGCCTCTTCCATGTCCACACCTGGCAAAGGTACATATGGGGGTATTGCTGTACTCAGCTGACATAGCTGAGCAACATATGAAGTATTATACAGTCATAGCACACATAAGGTTTGCAAAATATACTATGTCACTTTGTGTGTCAAAAAGGCAGAAAAAATGCTTATTACCACTACATCTGGTACAAGCTAGCGGAAAAATGATCCTACTCTAAGGTTCAAAATATGCCTTTTGAAATACTCTGGGATGTCTTCTTTAACAAATGGTATGCCTTTATGGTGTAGTTGTAATATGTAGCCTGCTCAAGTGCTCCAAAGTGGGACAGAGACGCATCAAAACCCTCCATGAAAATTCACACTTAAAAACCTGAACTTGTCACGTCTCTTTTACAGCAGTGTAACTTCACAAAATAGTGTCTAGGTCATACATTGGGCATATTGTTTTACTCAGAAGATGTAACTGAGCATAATTTGGGGGGTTTTATGACAGTGGTACATATCACATGCAAGAAATACTCAGCAAAAATGAAACACATATGTAAAAATGCCATTTTGTTTCCCCTCACCAAAAACATTGACATAAATTGGTGAAAAAATGGTGACAAGTTAAGGCACAATAAACGCTATATAAGATACCCCGGGTGTCTGCTTAATCAAATGGAAGCCCTTTGTGGGGTTATTTGAATACTCACACTGATATAAATACCCCAAAATGAGATATAGGCCCGTCAAATCCATCTACGAAAATTCCAACTATAGAAACTGAAATATCCTTGTCTCCTATATGGCATTGTAGTTTTACAGAATAGTGCCAAAGGTATACAATGGGGGTATCGTTATACTCAGCAGATGCAGCTGAACACAATATGGGGTTCTGTGCAGGAATAGCACGTACCAGCTTTACGAAATACACATTACAAAAACCTTGTTATATGTGTATATGCCAAAATAGAGAAAAAACACAATTTTACTCCAATATTTAGCAGAGATTGGCGGTGAAATGGCTGCGCAAAAAGTGTCAAACTAACCTTAGGTAAATAGCCGGTGATGTCTACTTTATATAAATATATACTTTTGTGTGGCAATTTTGTTTTCTGTGATGGATACTAAGCCTACAAGACAAACATACCAAATTCTAAAATGGTTTCATATTGAATTTTATTTTAGTCCTTGTATTTTGTGACCGGTAACTTTCAAAATAAGCTGAAATTCTATACATATGATGTAGTCTATAAATCAAAACATATAAATGAATTTATTTTGAATTACTTGTTCTATGCTGGACATATTATGCACATTTTATTATTACCAAAATTGTGAGGAAAATTTTTAACATTTTTTTTTATTTTTTGACATTTTGTTTATAATTAATGAGAATGTATCTATGTACATGTGACATCAAATTAAAGCCCTGTTTTCCCTCTAAAAAACGATGTAACAAAACAATGCAGCTGAATGAGAAGTCTTTGCAAGGCAGGTGCTCTGGGCAATTGCTGCCTCTTGAGTTTATCTCCACTGAGCTAACCAACCAGGAAGTAAAATAACCTGTTGTCTGATTGACATCCAGGGGGGTGTAACAAGGTTTATTTATAAAAGTGAAAATTTATATTAAATCTGCATTTTTTGTAAAATGAAAAAAAGAGGACACATTCTTCACACATAAAGCACTTCAGCAAGTTAAATTGCTTTAGGTGTCTGGGGTATCCCTGTGGCAGACCACCATTATTTCGCCAACACCGATTCCCTTTCCCAAAATAATGATGCTCCAACACTCAGAAAAGTAAATATCGCTGGTATCGCCTTTCCCCCCACACATTAGTCGACACTGAATGCTGTGAGTAGATCAGTTTACTTCAGGCAAGCATTCTCAATTTATACACAGAGTAAACTCCTGTGCCTGAGAGATAATTGAGTCAGGAAACTTACAACTCAATTATCTCCCAGGTACAGAAAAATATAACAATTTTTAAACACCACAAAGGTACCCCCAAAATCCCCTCGAGAGTCACATCCCCGGATAGCCCTGATCTGAATGCTTAACATATCCAAAAGCACTCAGATCGGTTTGGTGGTTTGGAATTTCCATTGAGGTACTGACCGGCCAGCCACGGGGTAGAAGCCCAAAATAGTTCCAGAGAAATTGTGGCAACTGACAGTTTCAGTTTGAGGGTTTTTGTACGGAAGCAATACACAATATCTGAATGCTTTTAAGTGTTCAATGTTCCCACCATTCGGTAGTTTATATCTCCTGAATGCCGTTCGTACAGGTGGTCGGGAACTTGAACAGGCAGCAGTTCCATATTCACTGGTGTTTGTGGGCGTGCCTACCCGAAATAAGTTCCAGGCACTCAATAACCAGGTAACGCTGCCTGCGTACGGGAGACAAGATGGTTGCTATCCATTCTGTCGACCATATGCGTTCAGTTACATGAAATGGAGGCCACCCAGGGGAGGCTTTTAGTGATAGTTTCCATTGTGGTTTTGCACTGGATACTTTGTATTCCACATTCTAATTAGATGTTGGGGTGGTCTTCATTCAGGAACCAAACAAGGGGAATTTAAAATGAGCAAATGAACAGGGGAAAACGAACATTACTGAATCAAGTGATGGGGCATTCCGTCACAGTCCCTTTAACCTTAACACAAATGTGGATGACATGACAAATATGTTGTTTGCAAAGCAATGCTTTAAACAGCAATGTATAAGTTCAGCACCTTGTGCTGGTCAGTAAACCTGTGCAGTAGTTATTGGACAAACCAAAATGTAATACAATTCTACAAAATTTTCATTCTTAGAATGGCGAATAAACGAGTTCCATTTCTAACAAGATAAAGGAAACAAATTGTTTGATGGACTATGTAACGGCACCCCCAGGCATAAAAGGGTTAAACCGCCGTTTAGAAGATCCAGAGACACAGGCAGCTACTGTAAACACCAATCCACCGAACCGGAGAAGCATGTGAATGCTCCCAAACATACGAATACTGTAAACAGACGAATAGGAAAAACCATACGAATAGGTTTACACTCCTAGCAGTCGAACTGGAACAGCATACAATAAATCCCCCCAAGAACGAGATAAGGCTCTGTTTTGAGGGTCAAGCAGGAACAGACAGAGCTGTGGATTTATTGTTCTCATATACACATTCTTACACATTAGTACCACCCACAGGGTTTTGGAAAACAACCAATAAACACGTACAATACACTCAGACACTCCCACAGAAAATCCTCCCCTCTGCCTGTGATACAATTACCTTACACAATGGGTAATGTAATTATCACAGGCAGAGAAATACAGTATTTCCACATTATTTATAACTTTAAAAGTATGCATCACATTCACATAAAACTTACATTTTCAGAATCAGCATACTCCAAATACAAACATATGTCAAAATCATACAAATTGGTCTAGTGGGTCAAAAGATAGATCGAATGCCTTTGTGACCAAATGAAGCATGGCTTTTCTGCCCAAAACCAGTTCCACAGAGTCTTCTATCCTGGAGATAATTGGGAGGTAATCCAATTATCTCCAAGGACAGAGGCAAAACTCAATTGAACACATGGTAGCAAAAGACAATAAAATACATAAAAATATATAACTGTGCAGCCATTGCATAAAACAGGTACATTCAACATATCCCCAGATAATTTAGCTTTGAGCGCACATTATTACTGAATGGCGCTCAGATCACATACATACAGTTCAATTGCCATGGAGCCAAAGTCTTTCACAAAGTCTTTCATTATACGAATGGGCTCCATGGCATAGCTATCTGGGGTATCACCGCTCAAACAGGGCAAGCACCGAATGACCCGTCTTTCTTGTCTTTGCAGGAGAAATCAAGCGTTTCAGCATGGGGCTATAGTCTAAAGGCAGCAGGCGGGCAACCAGGCTCCTCCAATGCACAGTGGCGATATTGGTCTCGTCACATTTCTCCCCTTTTCCAAACAGACTAACAGGATATCTGAACTCCTGCCAGTCAGTGTCCTGGTTAGTCCAGCAGCTCACCCACAAAACACAATTAGCAGTACAGCCCATCCACAATAACTGGTTACTACACTTGGCTAGAGGAGAAACTTGTCCATGTCTAGGTGCCTCACCACGGCTGTGCGGGGTACTGGTAGGCTGCCTTGGTGGGTTGCTGAGTGGGCAGAGATCAGCAGTACTCTGCCCTGGTGCCAGCCCTACCACGGAAGTAGCCTGGTTGGAGCCTGGTTGTTGGAGGGGGAGACCAACTGTCTCCCCTTTGGCTAAACAGCCCTGTTGCTGGGGGACAGGACCGACCGTCTCTGCCCCCGGTAGCTCAGCCTGCCGCTGGGGAATGGAGACTGGGCTGTCACACAGGGTCACACAAGGGTCCTTCAAATAAAAAATACTTTAAGACCACTGGGAACGGTCTAAAGTAACTTGACTATAGCATCGATCTATAAGAAAAATTAGAGAGCCATAGTATATAACAATGTATGAAACATACAAGAATAAAAACACTCACATTTGCATAGTAAATACGAGCATATAGTATAATGGCAGGAAGAAAATCTTGCAATGTAGTGATGTAGGGATTCCCTCACTTCCTAGCTCCAGCCAACTGGGAGGTAAGTCAGGATGTAGATCCTGGTCGGAGCGCCACGTGAGTTCCATTGATCTTTCCTCCTGCATTCCACTATAAGCCGGTATTACAGCAAACTTTGTGACAGATGCAGAAAAGCCTTACACGTTTCGTGAACTCTGGTTCACTTCATTCGAGGCTGGCATCTGCATTAAACGGACACTATAGTCACCCAGACCACTTCAGCTCAGTGAAGTGGTCTGGGTGCCAGGTCCCTCAGGTTTTAACCCTCAGATGCAAACATAGCATTTTCAGAGAAACTGCTATGTTTACATTTGGGGTTAATCCAGCCTAATCCATGCGCATTCCGTTCCACTAGGGAGCTGAAGTCAGACGGGGAGGAGAAGTCATCAGCACCGAGGGACCACGGCGCTGGATAAAGTTAAGCTGCTGAAGGGGTTTTAACCTATTATTTTGGGTATTACTCTTGGTCGCCTAACTGATGCTGGATGTCTTCACGCTATGAATGAGGACATCCAACGTTATGTAAAACCCCCCAGGAAAGCATTATACATATTTTCCTATGGGGGAAATACTAATGCAAGTGTGGCCATTGGCGCTCATGCACCTTAGGACTCCCCTGCCGGCTGACATCAGCGGGGACTTCGGCGCTGGACTCTGATAAGTAATAGAATTAGTTTTTAACCCCTTCTACACCACGGGGGCTGGGAGGGGGCGCAATGGGGGTGGGGGGGGCACTATAAACAGCTAACTTTGTTTTCTGGGCACTATAGTTTCATGTTAAGGCTCAGGGAGGATCAATTCTGTAGGTACGTGGGATCTCATTCATAGCATGTTCATTCACATTAGAGAATGACAGCCAATCGCCTTAATCCTCTAAAATGCTTTATTTCTAAAACGTGTATTAAAAGTCAAATTGGAGAGTATAGGATTACAAATAATCGGCGTCTAACTGCCTGATAAAATCCCCTCTCCTCCTTTTCCATTTTCTTTATCCCTATAATATAATATAAAACGGGAATACAGATCCATGGCATATCAGAACATTTTAGGAAGGTTCATAGTGGATTGACTGGTGCAGGGACATAATGTAGATTTTGAATTATTACATTTTTTTTTCAATAGTATTTTGCATTTTTGACATGTGGAATATGTATTTTGTAAGCGCCAATGTTTTCATTTGGTGATGAGATCTACTATAAGTGATTCTGTCAATGCAAATCTAATGAATAATCAGAGGTTTCGTTTAAATAATGCAGAATGCAGAGAGACGCATTCCGTGTGCAATATGTCAAAGTGTGCAGATTCTACCAACCATATCTCTATGTATGTTGAAGCCCAGAAACATGACTATTTATTTAATGATTTACTTTTTTCTTTTAAGTACTTTTCATACATATTTTACATTAGTTTGATTTATATGTTTTTATTGAGGAATGCACATATTACAATACACAATATTATACTCGTTCACATATTTCAGGTATTAAGAGATCAATACTAAGACAAATTATAATACCATGTTATTATTAAGGTATCAGAAGTATAGTAGGTGTGTCTGGCAGACTCCAACATAGAATCGCACATATAAATGCATCATTGCACAAAAGGTAAAAACGGGCAAGTCATCCCTATATAACATGTGGCATTGAAGTCTGAGTGAGTAAGAATACCATTTTCTTGCATGTATTATTTGTTTGAAAGGTGGGACTGATGTCAATCCCTATATACATCCAGACAGCTGTATCAAAAGACTGCCAAGTGTTGTTATAAAGGACACGTTGAGATGATGGTTGACCCCGTTTAAAGGAACACTACAAATGCATAAAGCACTTCAGCTTGCTGTGTGAACAGAGCATCTTATTTTCATTTTGCAAAAAGTACAGATTTCAATAAAAATTGTCACTTTTATAAATTAACCTTGTTACACCCCCCTGGCTGTCAATCAGACAACAGGTCCTGTTACTTCCTGGTCTGGTTAGTTCAGTGGAGCTAACCACAGAGCACCTGCCTTGCAAAGACTTCTCATTGAGCTGCATTGGGAAGTTTGTGATTGGACAGCCACAGAAAGTCTGGGCGGGGTTAGAAGGGGAGGGCTTGCAAAGGCAGCAGATCAGAGAAGTGCCGCAGTTGCAAGCCAAGATTTAATTTGCTTCCATAGAAAATATGCATATTACATATAACATGCATAAACCATATCATATGCAGATTTTCATTGGGGGTAGATCTACTTAAAAAAATATTTTTTTTAATGGAGTTTTCCTTTAACAGTTGCAAAATTGTAGAAGACATTTGATTAGAGTTGCTCAGGATAGAAGTGAGGAGTCGGAAAACCCAGTTTAATATTTTCATATTATGCCCAAATTTGTGTACATCAACATGTGTAATAATGTATCAGGTCGAAACGGCAAAGTAGAAGGGTGTACATGCTGAGGTTTTGATGGAGTCAATCTTCTATGGACCAGGTGACTGGTTACAGGGCAGAAGCACATAAGATGGAGATAGATCTCTCATAGATTAAATTAACGCTCAACGGATACACTGTATTCATTCCACGGGCAGGGAGGGCTAGACGGTGGATAATATACTGGGAGTTAAAGAGCCGTGGCTCGCCAGTCTGATATCATATGAAGAGTTGGCAAAGTACTTGTGTAGTATGGAGCCTGCTGGAGCTGAAGAGCCCAGGTAGAGGACGCCTCGCGAATTTGGCTGAAAAACAGAACATAGACACCAATGAAGAGACTCAACAAATTACTTGTATTAGCGGCGTTATTCACCAACGTGAGAACTGCGGGGAATTCAAAGTGAATTTCAAATTTAGGGCCATAATTACTAAACTGACAACATCATTGACTTTATGTCATTCAGTTACTTAATCTAAATTTTGAAATCCCAGAAATTCTCACTTCAGTAAATAACCCGGTTAGAGTTTAGAATTAACGTTAGGACTGGAAATATAGTGAAATATGAATTATCCACAACCGAAATTATGTAATGTAAATAACTGTGGCAAACCCTGTTAGACCCACAGATATTATTACATTATTATTATATTATTATTATTATTACATTATTATTATAGCAGTACAGATATGTGAGTGACGCTCTACAGGTATAGAATTCTCCTCGCTGGGTATACATAGAATAACACCCAAAGTGTTCCCTAAGGTGAGTGGCCCATAGTCACCATTTATTCATCGTATTAAAGCGGCACTGTCATGCCGAATTCTGTTTTTTTTTTAACCCCCCTCCCGCCTCCACTACATCCAATTGACTCCCTAAGCCCCCAGCATTACCTATTTTTTAATCTTTATTTTCTGCCCCGATCTATATCCAGGGCGCCGCCATCTTTGTGTGGGTAGATGAAGTCCCTGTGGGACACGTCACCTGCCCACACTAGACAGACTGTGAGATTCCCGCACATGCCCAGGGAAACACCTGGACATGCGAACGGGAATTTAAGCTATTCATTCATTCATCAGACAGACGAATGAGTGAATAGAAATATCAGCCGAACAAACAAACAAACACAATGTATCAGTGTATGTTTGTTCGTTCAGTTTATTACAAGGAGGGAGCTACCAGCACGCAGCTCCCTCCTTGTAATATGTAACTATAGAAGCGGCAGGGAGCAGTGCTCCCCACCACTTCATAAGCCCCCCAGGTCCCCCTCTCACTCTATGGGGTCAATATGACCCCCATAATAGCACAAGGGAGATAAAAATCTCCCAAATGCCCCTACTCGCTATACCGCGAGTAGGGGCATGTCCACTAAACAGTGAGCAGCCTGTGGCTGCTCACTGTAAAAAACAAAAACAAACAAACAACTATTGGCCCCCACCCCTAAACAGTGAGAATGAGGGGGGGGGCAGTACTCCCCCCCCCGGCCCCCACCCCTGGGCGGCGGGTGGGGGCCATAATGAGAATGGGGGGGGACCTACTGCCCCCCCCGCCCCCACCCCTGGGCGGCGGGTGGGGGCAAAAATGAGGGGGGGGAGACCTACTGCCCCCCCCGGCCCCCAACCCTGGGCGGCGGGTGGGGGCCATGAAGATAATGAGGGGGGGGGACCTACTGTCCTCTCCCCCCCTGCCCCCACCCCTGGGCGGCGGGTGGGGGCCATAGTGAGAATGAGGAGGGGGGCAGTACTCCCCACCCCGGCCCCCACCCCTGGGCGGCGGGTGGGGGCCATAATGAGAATGGGGGGGGGACCTACTGCCCTCCCACCCCCACCCCTGGGCGGCGGGTGGGGCCATAATGAGAATGGGGGGACCTACTGTCCTCCCCCCCCGGCCCCCACCCCTGGGCGGCGGGTGGGGGCCATAATGAGAATGGGTGGGACCTACTGCCCCCCCCACCCCCACCCCTGGGCGGCGGGTGGGGGCCATAATGAGAATGGGGGGGACCTACTGCCCCCCCCGGCCCCCACCCCTGGGCGGCGGGTGGGGGCCCTAAGTCAATTACCCCCCCCCCAAGGTGACTAGGGGTCTCCAAGCCCCTAGTCACCCACCCCCCACCCCAAAAAAAAAGTCCCTACCTACCCCCCTCACCCTAAAAAATAGTGAGGGGGGATAAAATAACTAACCTGTAAAATAAAATTAAACGTACCATTCGACGTCTTCTTTTTTCTCAAATCTTCTTTTTTCAGCCCCAAAAAAGGCCAAATAAAAAACCATCATAACCGTCGAATTGAAAATAAAATAAAAATCCCGAGCGCAAAAAAAAAACCCGACGAAAAATAAAAAACCCGAGCGCAAAAAAATAATCCATCTTCACCCATGGAGGGCTCCGCGCAGACTGAGCTCTGCAGGGCGGGGGAAGGCTTATAAAACCTTGCCACGCCCTGCAATTAGGCTAAGAACACTCTGATTGGTGGGTTTAAGCCAATCAGAGTGTTCTTTGTCATTTTACACAGCGTGGGAAAATTCAAAAGAACTTTCCCACGCTGTGTAAAATGACACAGAGCACTGTGATTGGATGGATTTCAAACCATCCAATCACAGTGCTCTGTGTCATTTTACACAGCGTGGGAAAATTCCAAAGAACTTTCCCACGCTGTGTAAAATGAC